ACATAATTGTGGATTTCCCCCATTCCTCTTAACCGAACTCCGTCAGAATTGAAGGCCATTTATTGAATTTTCCAGGGTTGTCGTACAGTTTTTTCAACAGGTTAATAAGGCTTGGGAACGCTTTCCCCTAGGGTTCCCCAACATGTGGAGCCCTGGACTTTCTTGTGTTGCATCGTCCACCACTCTGTAGAGCGGCGTCTCCATGCTGTTCTGACATTTTCCACCTTGTGGCTATGGAGTGATTTTGCCAGTAACGCGAGTCCTCAGGGTCCCGAAATGCCGCTGGGACCCACCCTCGGCTTGCCCCAGGCACAGCTGCGTAGGCGAGAAGACACGGCAGCCAGCTTGTCGGGGACCAGCTTGTGAGGGCCTCCCCTTGTCCCCCGCAGTCACGCTGAAGGGCCTGGAGGACCAGCTGCTGAGCGTGCTGGTGGCCTACGAGAGGCACGAGCTGGAGGAGCAGCGGGAGCACCTCATCCAGGAGACCAGTGAGAACAAGAACCTGCTGAAGGACCTGGAGGACTCCCTCCTTCGGGAGCTGGCCACCTCCACGGGGAACATGCTGGACAACGTGGACCTGGTGCACACGCTGGAGGAGACCAAGGCCAAGGCCACAGAGGTATCAGCCGCAGAGGGAGCGTGCTGAGCCGGGGCCGGCCGCCGTGTCTGCTCCAGGAGACAGACTCCGTGATCTCAGGGCCTCGTTCCTGGTCGGTCCTGGGTCTTAGAAGCAGAGGGTTGCGGGTGGGGGTGGGGGTGGGAGGACGTCAGCCTGTGCTGTCATTGGACTCGGGCTTTGAGTCACCTGGGGTTTGCCTGATGAGAAAAGGCCACCTCATCGGACTGTGCTGTGGGGAGGGGAACCCTAAAAGGTGCTCCCAGCGTCCCTGTACATCAGGTCAGCCTCTTTCAGTTGAGGGTANAAAACTGAGAACCCTGGACAGTTCCCAACATGCCCAAGGGGGTGGGACCCTGCACTGAAGCCTGGGCTCTTTCCGTCTTAACTCGCTGATTCTTTCCTCCTCTGACTATTCAGAGAGCGCCAGCCTGGGCCTGGCCTGCAGCAATTCTAGAGAAAACCTTTGAAAAACAGTTGACAGCGTTGCCTGCTTTCGTAGCCCCGACCCCAGCAACACTGCACCTTCCCTGGTGACTCAGGACCATTACTTGAATCTCTAGCTTTGTGCTGGAGACATTGTCCTGGCTTGTCCTTACGCTGTGTGGCTCCCTCTGTCCCCTCTTGTCTGCAGGGAAGTGGGTGGGGGCTCTGGGTCCGGGAGGGGTATCTCCACAGTCGGGTTCTTCCCCCACACCCCTGCCTCTCCCTCCCCTGGTCATCCTGGCCTCCTCCTAGAATGGCTGGACTCCTGCCTCACTCCCCCTTGCTGTTCCATGCCCTCTGGGGCCTCTGTCATCCCCTCTTCTTCTCTCCTTTTTCCTTTTTTTCTTTTATCATTTTCCTTCTGCTTCTGTCTGTGTTTTCAGCTTTGGTGTCCGCACGACTTGATGTGGTTCTTCATGGACTGCCCAGCAGAGCGGGCAGCCAAGCGCGTCCCCTGAGTATGGCTCATGGGCCACCTGCTCCTTCTCCGTCTTTGCACCCACGCTGCCGTGCCTTCTCCTGTTCCTTTTGGGTTTCCAGTTCCCTGGAGGGCAGAGGGCGCTGGACGTCTGAGTGTTGGGGCAGCAGAGTGATTGTCTGGCCTCATGAAAGACAAAGAAAACCATGAACGGGCAGCACAGCCTGGAAGGCGCCCAGGATGCGGGGTCCCCAGACCCCACGGGCTGCGTGAACACTGACAGGCCGTCCAAGCACGCAAGCTCCCCTCTTCATCTGGTAAACGGAAATAAGCCAGTGACGATGATGACAATAATGACACTGGCTACCATTTAGACGAAATTACACTCCAGGTGCAATTAGAAACGTTGTTTCTCAGGCTCCACCCTGACCTGCTGATTCTTACGCTGGGGGTTGGCCTGGGTTTGCGTGTTCACGACACCCCGCTATGATTCTGAAGCCTGGTCAGGTTCCAGGAGCCTAGTCTGGCACCTGATCGGTGAGACCCGCCCCTGCCCTGGGAGAAGCTCCTCCGCGGGAGCCCAGGTCCTTGCTGGGACATGGCTTCCTTTGTGTCTGTGCAGCCTCGCCTCCAAGGCAGGCCTCTGGGTTGAGCCCTGTTTCCTGGAACTCTCAGTCAGGCTGGGTCCTGACCCACACGTGGTTCCCTTTCTCACCAGGTCCTTTGCGAAGCCCCCGAAACAGGTGCAGACGGTGTGCGAGTGCATCCTTATCATGAAGGGGTACAAGGAGCTCAACTGGAAGACCGCCAAGGGCATGATGTCCGACCCCAATTTCCTGCGGTCGCTGATGGAGATGGACTTCGATGCGATCACCCAGAGCCAAGTGAAAAATACCAGAGGTGNTGACATGCTGTGAAAAGCACCTCCCACCTGTCCCCCATCAGCTCAGCTCCCCTTCCCCAACTCAGCAGGTAACTGCTGCCTTTCATGTCTCATATATCCATCCAGAGAGTTTTGATGCTTGTTCAAGGGACCACATACACCAGTGTCCCTTCGGCTCCTGACTTTGGATCCTAGGGGTTTGTAGAACAAGGCACACCTGGGTATTCTTTTTTCCATATTAATGATGCACTATGCATAGTTTTCTGCATTTTGGCTTTTCCACCTCACAATACATTTTGGAGATCTTTTGCATATTGATATATGATTAATTTCCCCGATACATTTTTTTAAAGTCGTGAAAGGGCACTTTATTAGAAGACAAAGTACACTTTAAAGAAATAGAAGCGGGCCCGAGCAGTAGAGAACGGCTCAAGGGCCATTATCAGAAGAGAAAGTACACCAAAGAGTCTGGAGCGGGCCGAGCAAAAGGAGCTCAAACGGCCTCCCCGATACGTTTAAATTGCCATCACATTCCATTGTAGGGCTGTGCCATCACCGATTTAACCAGCCCTCATTTATGAATATTCAGCTTGTTTCCAGTATTTGGCCTTTTTTTGCAGCGTGGCCAGGAATAACCCTGACCATATGTCATTGTGTACCTGGGCAAGTCCCCCAGGGGGGACACATTAACCAGAGTGGAATTGCTGAGTTCAAGGCTGTGTGCATTTACAGTGTCCATAGCCGCTGCCTCGTGCCCTCCATGGGCCGGGGGAACCAACTTACACGCCGCTGGCAACCCTCAGGAGTGCCTGCTTTTTCATAGTCTCACCAACAGGGGGCACTGCTAAGCGTTTGGGGTTTTGCTTGTTTTGGAGATGAAAAATTGTATTTGTGTAGTGTTTTTTGCTACAAGGGCATAGTTGACTCTTTTAAGGAGGGCGCAGCTCACAGTGGCCCATGCGGGGGTCNCTCTTGGCCAAACAAAGGGCCGTTTTCAGACATATATTCATTTCGGCTGATGCCATCCCGATACGGCAGTGGACGTCCTGAAAGATGCTTGACATCTCATGAGAATGACTGCCCCCTGCCCCACCACGAGCCCACGTTGGATGAAGCGCAGTGAGGCCACTGGAGCGCTTGCCCGGACGTGCTGGGAACGGCGCCCACCTTGGTGATTGATGGATACCGCTGTTCTCTTTCCTCAGCTCAGTGCAAGCGGCTGGAGGGGGGGCTGGACAAGCTGAAGGAGGCCACCATTCAGCTGGACGAGCTCAACCAGAAGCTGGCTGAGCAGAAGATCGTGCTGGCGGAGAAGTCCGCCGCCTGCGAGGCCCTGCTAGAGGAGATCTCCACCAACACGACCATAGGCGAGTGTGGGGCCGGCTGGTGCGGGGAGGTCACTCCACACACAGCAGGACCTGGCTCCACTGGGGGACAGCCACTTATAGGCACTGAGCGTGGAATCTTTGGACACTTCAGTGGCCATTGTTTCCTGAGTTGATCTCAAGTCCCCTTTAGTAGGCACTGAGACCCTACCATGTGCCCAGCCCAGAGCTGACGGCTTAGGGGTTTGACGGGTATGGAAATGTCATCTCTCCCCGCTGCAGACACCCCACCTGCGCCTGCTTGTCGACTGTGAAGATAAATCCTGAGAGAATGCCACAGTGGGAGATAATAGTGAATTCAGTGTGCATTTATTGAATACCTACTGAATTCGTGTCCTGGGGCTGCCACAACAAAGCACCACAAACAGGGTGGCTTCAAACGACAGGCTTTCATGCTCTCTCAGTTTGGAGGCCAGAAGCCCGAAAAGAAGGTGTCGGCAGGGCTGGGCTCCCTCCAGAGGCTCGAGGGGAGGCTCCTTCCTGCCTCTTGCAGCTTCTGGTGGCCGCAGTCCTGGGCATTAAAAATGCAGACTCCAGCCTCTGCCTCCATCATCACACGACCTTCTTCCCTCTCTGTCCCTGTGTCCTCACATGGCCGTCTTAGAAGGACCCAGTCATTGGACCCAGTCATTGGGCTTAGAAGGACCCAATGTGACCTCATGTTAACTAATTCCATCTGCAAAGACACTCGTTCCAAATAAGGTGACATTCTGAGGTTCTGGGTGGACTTGAATTTCGGGGGGAACATTATTCAACCCAGCACACCTGCTGTGAGCCAAGCCCTGTTCTGAATGTTGGGGTTACAGCCCTTGGGGAAATGCTTACATTCTCGTGAGTGGAGCCAGAAAGCGAGCCAGTAAGTAGATGAAATTTCAGATGCGATCAGTGTCCTGAAGCAGATAGACAGAGTGATGAGATTGAGAGTGACAGAGGGGGCGGGCCACTTCAGGCAGTCGTGGCTTCTGAGCTGGGCCTGAATGAACACAGGAAAAGGTGGCAAAGAGGCAGAGAGACCCCAGGGAGCCAAACACCAGGGAGGGCAGCACTGGTGTCCTCAGCTAGCACTGGCCAGGAAGCGCTGGTCAATGTCACATGATGTGGAGTGGCTGGGACACGGGAGGGAGGGTCAGAATCGGAGCAGCCGTCCTGGTGTTGGGACCCTGTGTACCCTGGGGACTTCTGTTCTGGCGGGGGCACCTGAGGCCGCCACATGGGCCAAAGCTCGATA